AAATGTAGAAAACGTAAATCGATACTTTGATAAATAATGAAAATTAGTAATAAAAAAATGCGCGATTTTTTATTGAGAATTTTCGCATGCGGCACTTTTTCCTTCAAAATTAATACTTCGATACATAATGAAAGTTTTTAATAAAACTACTAATTAATAAAATATAAAATATATTAACGTTTAACGAGCTTAATTTAGTTGNGTTTTCTAAAGGAAAGTAAAGAAATTTTTAAACGTAATAATGAAATTAATAAAATATAAAATATATTAACGTTCAACGAGCTTAATTTAGTTGGAATGTGTGTTTCTGCACACTTGTATTTGTGTGAAATGGTTTGTTATCGTACATTTTGTTAGGTGAAATTTTCAACTTCTACAACAATTTTCTCGTAAACTATGAGTTTCCTCGCCGTCCTGTTTTCAGTTTTTTGACGTGTGCGACCCCCTCCACCCACCAAAAAAGTCATTTTGTTCAAAGCGTGGTGCACTCTCGCGAAGTTTTCCCACACTTTTGCAAACCAGTCATGGAAGAAAAGATTAAAAATTAGTTATAAAAACTAAAATCCAAAACCGCTAATGACGTTACAGGTTCTCCCAATTCTGAAGCAATCAGAAGAATGAGAATGAAGAATTCTTTGGAAAACAACGATCTTGCCATCAGGGATGCCGTTTGGATCTAAATAGATCCAATTGGATACATTTTTAGACGAATTTTTGTGGGATACTTATTTTTTCCTATCAGTATAAATGTGGATACTTTTTTAAATAGGCCAAAATTTTATATTTTCTATAAAGTTGTTTTCGTTCAAAAATAGATTTTCATTAATGAAGTTTTCTAAATGTTATAAAAATCGCTACTTAAGCGTGAAATTAGAGCATTTTATTTTTTGTGAATGAAGCAATGAACATATATAGAGATCTCACCAAAGCAGTGTAATAAGAACTTTAACAGACGGCAGCGTTGATCCGGATCAACTCGGGAATTAACTGTAGTTGATCCAGATTAAGTCCCAGTTAATCCCGATCAACTCGGAATTAACTGCAGTTGATCCGGATTAAGTCCCAAATAATCCCGATCAACGCTGCCGTCTGTTTAAGCTTTTAGGAGCAATTGTTTAGTTAGCTTATAAAAATGCTTTAAGCAAGATCTTAATATATATATATAAATTAAATATATCTCTTTCATATCACATATCTTCATTTGTTAATATAAAAAGAAAGAAGATCTCAATGTAGTTTAAAATACACTGTTTAAAAAACTAAATTTGATTTATTTAAGGAAATTTTTATAAATTTTACTGAAAAGACTTTAAATACACTCTAAATTTTTGCTGTTTATTTGCGCATATTAAGAAAGGTAACCATTTTCCTCTTTTAATGTGTGCAAATTTGCACACCGTGTAATAAAATTAAACACTGCCTGTTTACTTTAACATACCAAATTTGCCGCAGAGCGCAAAATAACACATAAAATGTTTAAAATAGAGTAAATGTAAGCTCCTAATGTTTATTATTTGTAGGAAATTTTTTGTTTAGTTCCAACATTTTTGCAACTTTAAACATTTCATGGGTATTTTTTAAAGATCTCAAGTTCAAAATCGAATCCTGAACATCTTATACGTATGTATATTTATACAGATTCCTGTTGAAAAATAGATATTTTTCAGTAGTAGTTTTACACACACTTTTCATAGTGTACAGGTACAAATGTAACATATTAATTACTATTTTTTATACTTATTTTGCAAAATACTTATGTATAAAAATGTAATTTATAAATGGAAATTACAAATGTTTGATTTTATGAAATATAAAAATACTAGCAACCCGCCCCGGCTTCGCACGGAAATAAAATATAAGGCCTATGTCACTCACTGAAAAAATGATTAAAATCGATCCCGTAGTTTTGATTTATTCATTACTGCCCGTGGCCCGCACGCGTTACATTTGGAGTAAAACAGTTCCCCTTTCTTTATACCATGAAGATTTCCTGCTATCTTTGGAATATCTAACGCGCGCTCCGAATCAATAAAAACTATTCAAAAACTGTATTTTAATTATGTGCGATTTATTAATATAGAACGTGAACAGAGCGGTTTATTTCGCTGAAAAAACACTCACAACTAAAAATTTTTCAAATTTGGGTTTTCTGTATAAAAACCCTCAATGCAATGGAATTCAGTACGGCAATAAAGACATGAATTGAAAATACATACATACATACATACATACGTCCGAAATTTAATTATGCGAGAGATTCGTACATATGTACTTACATACATACGTACCGAGTTCTTTCACCATACGATCTAATTCGACATGAATGAGGTGGGGTGAGATTCCCGCATAACTTCTAATGTTTCATTCGGTTGACAGCGAACAAACACACAAACAGCTTTTTTTGGAAAAAGTGCTGCTTTTGTTTAAACAATTTTGGTTAAATAAGATATGAATCAACTATTTTTTTTGATGCAGAACGAAAGTAAATATTTCAAAGTTTAACTTCAAGTAAGTTTCATTTTAATCGGTGGATTCTTTTATGATTTATGGCTGTGTAAACAAAAAATTTATGGGTTTTTACCACATTTTGTCCGATTGCCACGCCCCCTTTATATATTTCTTCACATTATAATGACATAAACCTTCCTCTTCAACCAATCTATCTATTAAAAAAAACCGCATCAAAATCCGTTGCTTAGTTTTCAAGATTTAAGCATTTAAGGGGACATAGGGACAGAAAAAGTGACTTTGTTTTATAATATGTAGTGATATAAACACGTATTCCAAGTTCTTAGGATGGGTTAAATTATGTCTTTTTCTTCAAAATGTTTGGTTTTCTTACAAATTATGAGATGATACGTAAAAAAAAAAAAATTGGATACATTTGGATACATTTTTGGCTTGGTTGGTGATACATTTTCTTGGGACGGCGCGGCAACACTGCTTGCCATGCTGCTGGATTGTGAAAATGAAAGTCAGGAGGATACATCCGACATTTGCAGCCCCGATGCACTTCTCAAAAAGGAATTATTGCACCGTTATAAAAAAAAAACTAAATATAACTGAGTCTTCTCAGCTGGTGCAGTTTCAATCGAAAAAAATTTATGATTTTGTCAAGTTTCAAGTTTGTCGCCTCGAGCGAGTATTTATTGAGTGGTGGTGGTGTGATTTACGACCCTTTAAGAAACAGGCCTTAACCCGAAAAGTCAGCAACATTACTTTTTATAAAATACAGTATTCCTATTTTTAAATTCAAGTACTAAATAAAAAAAAACATTCACCTAAATCACTTAATTTACTCACCTCAATTATTTCCTAAAAATACTTGATATCCACATTAGCATCCGGATGTCTAAAATTACACGTTTGCAACATCCCTAACCTCCAAATGATATCTCCTAATAGTTATTCACCACCACCTGCCGAGCGTTGCTATTTAGTGTTTGTCGCTGACTGAACACTCGATGATCGATGTTGGCTACTTTGAAAAAATGCGCAGGGCTGTCTGCATTTCGTAGCATTTCTTCGGTATTTCTGATGATACCAACAAACCATCTGCGCTGTAGACGACGATGAACTTGGTGAATTATTAATATGCTTGCGAATTTGCTGAATCTCCGTTGAGTTGGCGATCTCGTCTCTTAAGCTACAAATGTCAGTCGTGGAAGCGATGGCTTCTACTTGTGTTCCAACTAAGTTTGCTACTTCAACTATTGCATCCGCGATCTTAAGTTTTCTTGCAATTCTTTCTGATGAGGCTATGGTTAAGGACTGTGCGACAGACGGAAGGCGGCTTATCCACAAATCCAACAGTGCGCTGTCACTCCACGATGATCCTACTACTCTTTGCATGTCAGAAAAAAGCTCGCTGGACCTTTTATCACCCAACGATATCTCCTGGAGCACTCCTTGCAAGCGTCTGGGTTGACTCTCTCTGAATCGTTCTATGAGTTTGGTTTTAATGTACTCGTATCTGTTAACAGCAGGTGCAGCCTCAATGACGGGACGTAAGCTGAAGAGCTTGGTCGGTGGTACACTGGCTAGGACGATTGCATATTTGCGGCTATTTGCGAAAACTCCTGTAGCGTTGGACCAATAGTCCAGGGAGTAAGAGAACGCTTATAATTCTTTTTCGCTCGTTGTCGGAACAGGAATGTGTGGACTATATACGGCGTTAACATCAGCTACTTCGAAGTTTGATTCGAGCGAATGGCTCGACTTCTCGTCCGCGCCCATTGCATTGACATTAAATTTCTACAGTGCTGCCACAGTTACTTATCAGAGTCGGCGGTCTTTACAAGCTCTTCATTACAGGTGAACCTTTTCAAGAAGTCACCCGGAAACTAAGCAGATCTGAGACTTTCATCGTCCGGGATTCCAGTAGTTCTAAGTATTATAAAATACGGGGTGCCTTTTTAACAAAATAACAAGATTTTAAAATAATTCGGCTGGCCACGATTTTCAAAAGAGAATTTTCTTTGGAATTTTCATTCCTAGAAAATAACAATTTATTTGCCATATCCACCTATTTAGAACCTCGCTATAAGCACACATTTGAGTTGACTTCGCGAGAATGCTCCACGGTTTGAACAAAATGACTTTATGGGGGGTGTAGGGGAGATCGTACACATCACAATACTGAAAATCGCACGGCGAGGAAGCTCACAGTTTACGAGTCATTTGTTGTTAAAGTTGAAAATTTCACCTAACAAAATGTACGATAACAAACCATTTTAAACAACACCATTGCAGAAAACCATTGCGGAAAACACACATCGGCTGAGATTTCCATTACGGAACCAATTGCTATTCCGTGCAAAGTATACTGCATTTTTTTATGAGATTCGGTGGGGATACTAATGGAGGTCTTCTTTAACTATATTTATAATTTTCACAATTTTGTTGCTAATAGTTCTTAAGTTATTTGTTGTTAAAATATCTCGCCTGCTATCACTACATTTTATTATAACACTACACTTATCACTTTTATTTACACAAATATATTATCCTTAAAAGGTTCGCATGCGTTTGTAATACTTTAATATACAATTATTAATTAATTAATTAAGTAAAACGCATTTATAAATGTCTTCAAAAACGTTTGCACATTTCACAAACAAGCAGATATAACAATGGCTCCACAAAACACAAAAATATGCTACCATACGTTAAAAAAATACAACGGTGGTACATTTTTTGCGATGTTGCTTTGACCAGTGTTTGAACCCAGGCGTTGCGGAGTGGAACCACTACACCACAACGGCCGACGAGGTTATATTTATTAGTTTATATTATATTTAAATATTTTATATGAACGTGTTTTTGTATTTTAAGATGATGATGTTTCTTGCATAAGCCGTGGAGTTATTTTTGCTGCTGCTGCTGCTAATATTGCAGTATTTTTATTAGTNTCAAAAGAGAATTTTCTTTGGAATTTTCATTCCTAGAAAATAACAATTTATTTGCCATATCCACCTATTTAGAACCTCGCTATAAGCACACATTTGAGTTGACTTCGCGAGAATGCTCCACGGTTTGAACAAAATGACTTTATGGGGGGTGTAGGGGAGATCGTACACATCACAATACTGAAAATCGCACGGCGAGGAAGCTCACAGTTTACGAGTCATTTGTTGTTAAAGTTGAAAATTTCACCTAACAAAATGTACGATAACAAACCATTTTAAACAACACCATTGCAGAAAACCATTGCGGAAAACACACATCGGCTGAGATTTCCATTACGGAACCAATTGCTATTCCGTGCAAAGTATACTGCATTTTTTTATGAGATTCGGTGGGGATACTAATGGAGGTCTTCTTTAACTATATTTATAATTTTCACAATTTTGTTGCTAATAGTTCTTAAGTTATTTGTTGTTAAAATATCTCGCCTGCTATCACTACATTTTATTATAACACTACACTTATCACTTTTATTTACACAAATATATTATCCTTAAAAGGTTCGCATGCGTTTGTAATACTTTAATATACAATTATTAATTAATTAATTAAGTAAAACGCATTTATAAATGTCTTCAAAAACGTTTGCACATTTCACAAACAAGCAGATATAACAATGGCTCCACAAAACACAAAAATATGCTACCATACGTTAAAAAAATACAACGGTGGTACATTTTTTGCGATGTTGCTTTGACCAGTGTTTGAACCCAGGCGTTGCGGAGTGGAACCACTACACCACAACGGCCGACGAGGTTATATTTATTAGTTTATATTATATTTAAATATTTTATATGAACGTGTTTTTGTATTTTAAGATGATGATGTTTCTTGCATAAGCCGTGGAGTTATTTTTGCTGCTGCTGCTGCTAATATTGCAGTATTTTTATTAGTTTATATCAAAGAATGTAGATAACAACAGGGGCGTGCCTTCTCTTTTGCGTACTTTCGCCACAATTATAACGAGTTGTTCCTTCTTGTAATCTACGTTCTTTGTTTATATTATGCTTAAATATTTTTTAGTAAAGTGGTTTTGTTTTTTGAGATTATGATGATGTTTATTAAATAAGCCGTGGAGTTGTTACTGCAGCTGCTGGTGCTGTTGCCACTGCAGGTGCTGCTGTGTCTGCTGATTGCTTATTATTTTTATTAGTTTATTTACACTGATGAGCAAAACCGGAACAGTAATACATAATATGAATTTTCTTGCGATATATTCTCAATATATGAAGACCTTTTTGTAATCTAGTTTCGGAATTCACATTTCTAATGTTTATTTCATCAGAAGGCCATACAAACAGTAATTAATACAAGGAGATAAAGAAGAAAATTGCAAAAAAAACGTAGGAACTAGATTGTTCCAGTCTTGCACCCGACAGAAAATTTTACCATTTGCTTGACTTTTAATAAATTGGCCATAACCAATTTGAATATTTTAGCTTTTATGGTCATCTTGGGATACTTTCGCATAGGTTTTAGATGAAATCTGTTGAGAACGCGCACCGGTTCAACTCTGGGCTTTACGCAGGTCACTCCATGATTATAAAAACTTGGGATTTATACCTATTTGGCCCCACTTTCGGAGGATATTTCTGATCATTGTCCTGTTAAAATTGATAAAAGCCTGCGAAAAATGTCCTCAGAAATTGCCAAATTCTTTGAAAATGCTCATTTGTTGTCACTTTTCTTTTTACCATCCATTTTACCAGAGTTGTTACTCCCTAAGGCGTAACACGGTCCTACATCATTAAATGTACACATACAAACGTAATAGTTTAAATATTTTGGGACGTTAGGGCTGTCCCTGATGCAGGTGCACAGCACTTGAACCAATATTCCGACTTAAACCGTTTATTTTATCCTCAGAGTTAAAAAATTTAAGGCCGTGCCCTAATTAATAGTAAATTTTGGTGGAATAATGTGTCGTTTTTGAAGAACTTGTAAATGCCCGCTTCAAAATATTACCAATCCAATGTTTTTTCTTAGTAAAAATGCGTTTTTGACTAAAAATTTTTCTGGATGTCAAAGC